CACCGATTTGGGCGAATTTATTCCGGATCAATTTTTGGCGGATTCCAAAGGGGTTCCATCACATATTTTGGGCGATTTTCCCGAAATGCCATTTCCTTTCGATTCTAGAGGATACTGATCATGGATTCAGACCGAGGCTGTTATCCACCGATAATGAAGTCTATTGATCCTATTCTCCACAATGATAAGTCCAAAAGCACCGATTTGACCCAATTTATTTTCGGATGGCATTTTCGTAATTTTTGGGTGAAAAAAGGCAATTTTCTTTGGATTTTGAATGTTAAAGATCATGGATTCAGCGTGACTCTATTCTTCAACGATGATTACGTCCAATAAGCACCGATTTAGGCGGATTTAATCCAGGTAAATTTTTGGGAGATTCCTAAGGGGTACCATCACAGATTTTGGGTGATTTTTCCGAAATCCCATTTTCTTTCGATTATGGAGGATACAGATCACGGATTCAGGCCAAGGCTATTATCTACCGATAATGAAGAATATTGATCTTATTCTTCACAGATGATAAGTCCATTAAGCACCGATTTGGCCCAATTTCTTTTTGGATGGCAATTTCGTTATTTTTTGGGTGACGAAAGGCCATTTTATTTGGATTTTGAAGGCTACAGATCACGGATTCGGCCTGAGACTATTCTTCAACGATGATTAATTCCACTAAGCACCGATTTGGGCGAATTTATTCCGGGTCAATTTTTGGCAAATTCCAAAGGGGTACTATCACAGATTTTGGGTGATTTTCTCGAAATGCCATTTTCTTTCGATTCTGGAGGCTACAGATCACAGATTCTGGACGATGCTATTATCCACCAATAATGAAGTCTATTGATCCTATTCTCCACAGATGATAAGTCCATTAAGTATCGATTTAGCCCAATTTATTTTCGTATGGCATATTCGTAATTTTTTGGGCGAAGAAAGGTCTTTTTTTTTATTTTGAAATCTACAGATCACGGATTCAGCCTGAGGCTATTCTCCACAGATGATAAGTCCATTAAGCACCGATTTGGCCCAATCTAATTTCGGATGGCGTTTGCGTAATTTTTGTGCGATGAAAGGCCATTTTGTTTGTATTTTGAAGGCTACAGATCACGGATTCGGCCTGAGGCTATTCTTGAACGATGATTAATTCCATTAAGCACCGATTTTGGGTGAATTTATTCCGGGTCAACTTTTGGCGGATTCCAAAGGGGTACCATCACAAATTTTGGGCGATTTTCCCGAAATGTCATTTTCTTTCAATTTTGGAGGCTACAGATCACATATTCAGTCCGAGGCTATTATCCACAAATAAGAAAGTCTATTGATCCTATTCTCCACGGATGATAAGTCAATTAAGCACCGATTTGGCCCAATTTATTTTCGGATGGGATTTCGTAATTTTTTGGGCGATTAAAGGTCATTTTCTTTGGATTTTGAAGGCTACAGATCAACGATTCGGCCTGAGGCTATTCTTCAACGATGATTACGTCCGTTAAGCACCGACTTGGGTGAATTTATTCAGGGTCAATTTTTGGCGGATTCCAAAGGGGTACCATCACAGATTTTGGGCGATTTTCCCGAAATGCCATTTTCTTTCTATTCTGGAGGCTACAGATCATGGATTCAGACCGAGGCTATTATCCACCGATAATAAATTCTATTGATCCTATTCTCCACAGATGATAAGTCCATTAAGTACCGATTTGGCCCTATTTATTTTCTGGTGGCATTTTCGTAATTTTTTGGGCGACGAAAGACCATTTTCTTTGGATTTTTAAGGCTACAGATCACAAATTTGGCAGAGGCTATCCTTCAACGTTGATTAAGTCCATTAAGCACTGATTTGGGCGGATTTATTCCGTGTCCATTTTTGCCGGATTCCAAAGGAGTACCATCACAGATTTTGGGCGATTTTCCCGGAATGCCATTTTCTTTCGATTCTGGAGGCTAGATATAACGGATTCAGGCCGAGGCTATTATCAACCAATAATGAAGTCTATTGATCCTATTCTCCACAGATGATAGGCCCATTAAGCACCGATTTGACCCAATTTATTTTCTGATGGCATTTTCGTAATTTTTTGGGCTACGAAAGGCCATTTTCTTTGAATTTTTAAGGCTACAGATCACAGATTCTGCTGAGATTCTTCTTCAACGTTGATTAAGTCCATTAAGCACCAATTTGGGTGAATTTCTTCCGTGTCAATTTTCGGCGGATTCCAAAGGGGTACCATCACATATTTTGGGCGATTTTACCGAAATGTCATTTTCTTTCGATTATGGATGCTACAGATCATGGATTCATGCCGAGGCTATTCTCCACCGACAAGGAGGTCTACTGATCCTATTCTCCATGGATGATAAATCAATTAAGCACTGATTTGGCCCTATTTATTTTCTGCTGGCATTTTCGTAATTTTTTGGGCGACGAAAGGCCATTTTCTTTGGGTTTTTAAGGTTACAGATCGCAGATTCGGCTGAGGCTATTCTTCAACGTTGATTAAGTCCATTAAGCACCGATTTGGGCGGATCTATTCCGTGTCAATTTTTGGCGGATTCCAAAGGGGTACCATCACAGATTTTGGGCGATTTTCCCGGAATGCCATTTTCTTTCGATTCTGGAGGCTACATATCACGGATTCAGGCGAGGCTATTATCAACCAATAATGAAGTCCATTGATCCTATTCTCCACAGATGATAGGCCCATTAAGCACCGATTTGGCCCAATTTATTTTCTGATGGCATTTTCATAATTTTTTGGGCGACGAAAGGCCATTTTCTTTGGATTTTTAAGGCTACAGATCACAGATTCGGCTGAGGCTATTCTTCAACGTTAATTAAGCCCATTAAGCACCAATTTGGGTGAATTTATTCCGTGTCAATTTTCGGCGGATTCCAAAGGGGTACCATCACAGATTTTGGGCGATTTTACTGAAATGTCATTTTCTTTCGATTATGAATGATAAGATCATGGATTCGTGCCGTGGCTATTATCCACAGACAAGAAAGTCTACTAATCCTATTCTCCATGGATGATAAGTCAATTAAGCACCGATTTGGGCTAATTTATTTTCGTATGACTTTTTCGTAATTTTTGGACGACGAAAGGTCATTTTCTTTGGATTTTGAAGGCTACAGATCACGGATTCGGCCTGAGGCTATTCTTCAACGATGATTACGTCCGTTAAGCACAGATTTTGGCAGATCTATTCCGGGTCAAATTTTGACAGATTCAAAAGGGGTACCATCACAGATTTTGAGCGATTTTGCCGATATGCCATTTTCTTACGATTCTGGAGGCTACAGATCATGGATTCAGGCCGAGGCTATTATCCACCGATAATGAAGTCTATTGATTCAATTCTCCACGGATGATTACGTCCATTAAGCACCGATTTGGGCCAATTTATTTTTTGATGGCATTTTCGTAATTATTGGGTGACAAAAGGCCATTTTCATTGGATTCTTAAGGTTAATGATCACGGATTTTGCTTGAGGCTATTATTCTACGATGATTACGTCCATTAAGCACCGATTTAGGCAGATTTGTTCCGGGTCAATTTTTGGCAGATTGCAAAGGGGTACCATCACAGATTTTGGGCGATTTTCACAAAATGCCATTTTCTTTTGATTCTGGAGGCTACATATCACGGATTCAGGCCGAGACTATTATTCACCGATAATGAAGTCTATTGATCCTATTCTCCACAGATTGTAAGTCCAATAAGCACCGATTCGGCCCAATTTATTTTCTGATAGCATTTTCGTAATTTTTTGGGCGACGAAAGGCCTTTTTTTATTTTTAAGGCTACAGATCACAGATTCGACCTGAGGCTATTCTTCAACATTGATTAAGTCCATTAAGAACCGATTTGGGCGAATTTATTTCGGGTGAACTTTTGGCGGATTCCAAATGGGTACCATCACAAATTTTGGGCGATTTTCCGAAATGTCATTCTCTTTCGATTTTGGAGGCTACAGATCATGGTTTCAGGCCGAGGCTATTCTCCACCGGCAATGAAGTCTATTGATCCTATTCTCCACGGTTGATAAGTCCATTAAGCACCTATTTGGCCACTTTATTTTCGTATGACATTTTCATAATTTTTGGGCGACGAAAGGTCATGTTCTTTGGATTTTGAAGGCTACAGATCACGAATTTGGCCTGAGGCTATTCTTCAACGATGATTACGTCCATTAAGCACTGATTTGGGCGGATTTATTCTGTGTCAATTTTTCGCAGATTCCAAAAGGGTACTATCACAGATTTTGAGCAATTTTCCCGAAATGTCATTTTCTTTCGATTATGGAGGCTACAGATCAAAGATTCAGGCCGAGGCTATTCTCCACCGATAATGAAGCCTATTGGTCTTATTCTCCACAGATGATAATTTAATTAACGATAAGTAGGAGTGACCGATAAGGATTCAGGACACATGAGCTTCACAAAGTCCTTCTCGTGAACAGTAGCCGCGTTTTTTCATAAGGAACAGTGCATTTCGGTTTTTGGTAATTTTGACCACTTGTGGCTTAATTATTCTACTTATTTACTTCAAGTGAGTTTCATAACACAAATTCCCTCCTTCGTGGATGTGCATGTTACTAAAAGGAGAACTCATACGTCAGCCAAACGTAAACGATCAATGGGAAAAGAAGGTTAAAGCCTTAAAAGGTAGGAATTCTGGGCTTTTGGCCCCAAAGTATAAAGGGTAGGGAATAATTTGCCGTTTGGTAAGTAGACCAACCAAACCATGGCGGATAATTAGAGTCTTGACCCCACCCCTACAGGTTCCCAAGAGCCGCCAAATGGGAAGCCTAACCATACTAAGAAGACAAAGCAAGTCAGGAAGTTAGATTAAGAGGTGATCAGATTTGATTAGTATCCTTTCTTAAGGTCAAAGCTAACCGTACGGCCTTGGTATCGAACAAGAGAAGTAGATAGACAGTTTATTCGACAATAATTACCTTTTAGTATTAGATTGGCTGCTGCAACAACCAACATGTCATAACAAGGCTGCATAACGTGCCAAGTGCGACTCTTTTGTCACCAGATATCATAGTTAACACTTAACATACTGATAGAAGGAACAAAGTCACATATTCCAGTTTTGTGGGGAAGTCATGTCTCATCTGGTATATATACAATTACAAAGACCAAAAGGGCATCCTCACTTCACAAATGGGGAAGGTTTGGATTTCAGATGTCTAATCACTAGCAAAGAATACTACCAGTGTCTATATAGTAGTTTGCATCTTACATTATTCTGTTTTGGCTAAACTCGGATGGCCGCCATTTCAAATGCAAAACCCTTCAGCCACGAAAAAGCTATCAAAATGTGGCTGTCTTGACGGCTGATATCAGATCGATCAAGTGCCGCATAAGCTCGAAGGGACCTGAAAAGAATGGGATAGATTGGGTCTGAGGAAACTTTTGAATGTAAGATGAGCTTCTGCACTTTTTTCAGTTACGGAATCAATTTTTGATACCTTGACATGATGGGGCATGATTTTGACGTCGAAAGGTACATGAAGCCATGCCTCGGGCGGATAGAGGAGGAAATTCTCGGGCTTACTGGTGTACACATCTGCATACTGATGAATGTGATAGGCGAAAGCTGATTCCTGACCCGTGTCTGTTAGGAACGTGGCGCCAAACGACTGGTTGAACATCTTCCTCATCGTCTTCCTCGCCTCTTGCCTCTTTTGGTTCAGCTCCTCAACGAGACATCTGTACGCATCACTCCTGTTGCTGTTTGGTATAATGGCGTGCAATCTCCCCAGCATTTCTTGTATGATATTGAATTTCGCCTGCTCAAACCGATATCTATCCCCATTCTGTATACGTATTTCGTTCTGAAAGAAAAAGAACAGAAATCAGCCAAATTGTGTCAATTGTAATGTATCGAGGCACATTTCTGTACACTTACTTCTAGTTCACGTATTATAGCAGCAGTTCGCCAACCAGCCTTCGAAGGGCCCCTAAGATCACTAAATAGGTGATCACCAAAATAAATCACCTGCAAAGAGTTAGAAAAAGGACAGAATTCAGTCAGTAAAATCTACCACGGCAGCGATTTCTAAAATGGAAACCAGATGATTTTCTATGATTGGATTTGAGAGCTAGATAGAAATATTGCTTCCAACATGGATAGCAACAGACAAAGCAAGGTTTATGATGTACCTCTGGACCACGCCACTTGGTAATTTCAAGGAAGGATTTGAGGCATCCATGGTAATAGATTTTATCTGGGACAAAAGACTCCACCTTTGTGAAAGTCAAAGTGTCCCTTTCTGTGTCATAGATTCTGCATCAACATTAGAAAAAGGATGATTTAGTACAATGATGCGATGAGAAGTGAAGATCATCAGAGAATAGCTTCTTATCAATGAGAGCAACCAGCATGATATCAAACAGCAAATGCCTGAGAAGTAGACATAAATGGTGGAAATTGAGGCACCAACCGAAATGGGTGCTCAGAAGTGTAGAAGTCTGGCTTATTGGCTTTGGCAATAACGACATCAAAAAGATCCCTCCAGCAATCTCTGCAACCAATAGAATCCTAGCAAAGACACCGACACAAGCAAAGGAGAATCTCCAGTCAATGTTACAACACTGCTTGAAACAGAATAACAACCTCAATTGGAGCAGACAAAGCGCATGGATAACTTCCAGAAGCTAGTCACCACTTCCGCAATCTGTTGACGAAGCATCTCCTGGTATATTTACAGCCTAAATATATGGCCTAGATTGTATTTATTTTGCTAGAGAAAACTACTAAAGCCCAGCATTCTACTTTGAGGGAGCTACACAAATGCAGTAAAAAAGAAGGCTGAAAGTAAACTATGAAAAAAGAACATCGCAACCAGAAAATATTTCCATGCTTCAAGAAAGAGGTCGCTACCTGCAACATATAACGCATTCCCCCATCCACAAAGTAATAAGGAGAGTTGGTCAGCAGGAAAAGTTTCTTCCCTTTCTCCTTCAGCATCTCAAGGAAGCGAAGGACTTCATGCTGAAAAATTGTCCACGGAAAACCAGTGAACATATGCAAAACGCATCAACAGAATATCCCATAAGTATGGACAGGATCATAGGCGTAACTCACATTTTTCAAAAGATATTTCTGCGGGTTGGCAAGAATCCCCCTGTGAGCTGATCCACTACGATGAACATGCTGAATGGCACGATTCACATCTTGATAGATATAAGATGCATCAAATTCTAGCTTAGCATCGACAAAGTGTTGCACTATATCAGCAATGAGACATGCCTACAAAACAAAATTACATCCAATGTCAGATCCAAAGCAGTCAGAGCTGCATTATCATTGCACCTTGACCATTCATTCGGAGTATTGCACTTAAGTCTAGTCAAATTTGGGCACACTAACCTCACTAAAGCAGAAGAAATCCATGAGACCAACAAGTCCACGAGCTTGATCACGACCAATATGTCTTGTGCCATATATCTCTTCGATTTCCTTCCTGCTAAGCTATATACAGAAGCCAAAAAAATTGAATCAGATTTCACTTGGAAGTCAAGCAAAAGTTTCTAACTTGAACATTAGTTGTCACCCTGAAATTCTTTAGACTGACATACCTTGCGTCGACCAAAGTAGCATCCATCTGGCTCAATTGACCCAAAGAAATCGAGCTTCAAGAGACACCCATTTTTCTTGTCATAGTATAAACCTCTAATCGGGAAAGTAGGATCATATGTGAACGTCATGCATACTTCAGGGTACCTAAACTGCAAATGAAGCAGACATTGAATTGATAAGCATCAAAACCATAGGAGAAACACTGATTATCAGCAATCACCATGATACCAACCTCATTGACCATATGCTCCTTGGCAAGATCATAGATCAAGCTCTGCAAGTTGGAAGTGTAATGTGCTAATGTGTAATCATAGTCGAATCCATACACTTGAATGTTATCCAACCTCAGGTTCTTATTCACATAGATCCCTATAAGAAAGAAACACAAAAACTAGGATCAGAAAAACATCAACAAATTCACATAAAGGAATGGCCATATTTCAACGATTAACTGAACCTTTGGGATTCATTTTCGGCATTCCAGCTAACGACTCTGGGACACTAAGAAAATTGTTCTTCGCTGCCTCAAACTGATTTCTAATCTTCGAAACTTCATCATCAAAATCCAAAGTCTCAGCTTCAGCCGAAGCACTAAAAACTCCGTACCTCCTAGTACACCCTCCAAATCCTAAACCCAAGAAGAAATTTTCACAAAACAAACCCCAATAAGCACTAATGAAAAAATGGTAATCAAGAAATGCCAGAGAAGCAATTGGAACTTACCTTGTGGTATACCCAAGATAGAAAAGCTCGTTCTCTGCAACAAAGATACGATCTTTATCACAAATGCGCACACAAATGGTAATCAGGAGAAGGAATTTGGCAGAGAATGAAAGAGCGGTACCTGTGAATAGGAGCGCAAAGTGACGAGCTTTCGAATGGCGGCCATGGCTGCGAACGTCGTCTCTCAGCTTCGCATTGAAGGATTCGAAGAGCCGCCTTTTCTAAGCGATTGAAAGTTGAAACTTCTCCACGAAAAAGGGCTTCCCCACTTGGCCTTTCACCCAAACAGAAAGATTTTCCAACTTGGGAAGATTAGGTGGTTAGGGTTTTATCTCGAGCGAGGGAAAACAGAAATTGAAGAAAATCAGGTGGCTAATAGAGACCAGATATTTATATGTTCATAATTAGCCGCGCTCTGGTTGGGGACCCCAACAGTCAGAGTCAGTCACGCTGATATCCAGATTCCAAAATCTCCTACTGAGAAGGCGATTTAAGAGACTAGAGCCCCTACGAGGAAGTCGGTATCCGAGTAAACGAGTTGTGGTTATATCAAAATACGAGTCTTTGTGTCGCACAACCATTAGTTTTCTTACATGTAAAAGATTCGAATTTGTGACTAATTTGATGAGATTGTTATTATAATGTATTGTTTAGATAGCATTGTTCTTTTTTAGCATATGGTTTATGTGATGTGACTGAAATTATCACTCAAAATAAGTGATTGTCATATCTCAGTTTTTAATTGCGATTGTTGATATTGTTGAGTTAAGATTGTTTTATTGTAGCTTTTAGCTGATGTTTGTTGAGTTAAGATTGTTTTATTGTAGCTTTTAGCTGATGTGACATACACAATCACATATATCACGCGTTGTATTTTACAATGCACCAAATTCGTAAATACATGTATAATATTATACATGCACTCACAACAATACATCTATTTAACAATTGCAACTTTCAAACGACACTTGTTCAACAATATATGTGAAATTATTCGACAATATATATCACACAAATAAATAATTAAAGGAAAAAAAATTCTTATAACGCGAAATCATAAGATCTCATAAGTGAAATGAGAAAGGATATTTGTATGTTTAGCCAACTCACTTCAATTCTTATGATTCAACATTCAGTTTAAGAATAAAGAGGATATACAACATGATAACGAAGTATCAATAATCATATATACTACTCATGATTTCTTTTACATCGATCATACAAATATCCACGGCCTCATGGACAACATTCCAAAAGCTAAACATGGAGGGAATCAAGGAAAGGGTTCCCGAGGAAATCAACTGATATGCTACAAATGCTAGTTTACAGCTTATGTAAGTTGGAAAATGTGCTCATTATTCATCCAGCAATAGACATCAGAGCTCCCCCAACGCCAGTCAACATTTTATGTGTATGTTCATCTTTGTATCCAAATCAACTGCCCTTTTCGCCATCATCTTGATCTCATACCTGCACTGATGCAGCTTCTTGTGAGAGGTGCTGCTGTTGCTTCTCCTCTATCATGGCAGCATGGTGTTCCAAATACTCTTTGCTGTTCATCTCAGTCAACCTGCATTTGCTCATCGGTGGAGTTCAGAACCCAAAATATAAAATAGATTAGTGGGATTTGTGTGCAATAGGAAGAGCAGCACTTGCCTACTTATGGTTCGATCTTTGGCAAACCCAAGTTCATTATCTACACAGAGATCAGCCTCGTCGCTCCTCCTTGATCGGGTAGAAGTTCTAGGGGCCATTTGCTGGGCATCAGAAATTGTCACTATCTTCTGGAAGAGCTCCAATGGAGTTCCCTCTGCTGTGCATAACAGTCTTGCCCGGTTTTCATACATAACCTGGAAATGACAGAATGAGTTTTGTGTTCGTAAATAGTATCTGCAAGCATAACATTGGGAGGAAGGTTAAGAGGGCATACATCGACTAATGTCACGAATCGATATGCTGCGGTCCTGTTGTGGAGTCCTAAGATTGGGATACCTTCTAGTGCAAGTGTATGGAAATTCTCTGAAAGAAAGAAGGAACAAGAAATGTTGGCTGCAAGAATTGATCCAAGGAGGGTCTAGCGTGGACAGAGTAAATATTGTATTAATTACTCCAAACTTCAGTGGGACAAATTGGTCAAGAATCAAAATTTAGTGATTGTTTTAAGATCCATGCAGATTAATCAGGTGTAATTGTGTACATCAAACAGTTTCTGAGTCCCCGTTTCAAAACAAAGTGTTTAGATTGTTTGTATCAACATGAACATAAAAAAATCCAGTTAAGAGCAACTCACTGAACAATCCAAAGTAGTCTGCAGCTCCAAGAGGTCTATCACAAAGTTCCTCGAACTGAAAGTATGCACATCCATCAGCAGCGAGTGGGACCTAACCATGATGGAGAAAAAACATAAGAAGCTGATCACAAAGCCGGTTTCCTATTTACATGATTAGACTGGAAAACAAAATCCATACAAACCTGCAATGTTCTTCCCATCACTACTTCCACCTCCTCGGGTCCAACTTTGTGTTCACCAACCAATTCCTGAAACTTCTGCTTTAGGAGGCTGGATATATCTTTCCCGACGAAGTAGAATCCTCGCTCAGCCTGTTGACCATTTAGAGTTCTTCATGAACATGCACAGAAGGGAAAGCCTTATAACATCCAAATAACTGAAAGCTCACCGAGCCCAATTTTCGATAGTCTACTGATGAGCCAATTTCACGAGCCACACATCTTTCCTTCAGAGTTTGGATGAAGGGCAAAAAGAGATCCCTTTGTAGTCCACCTTCATAGAGCTTATCAGGGTTGCGATTTGAAGTGGCAACAAGAATCTGTACTTGCCTCCATCATGCATAAACAGACAAGTTCTAAGTTGAAGCTCAAAACATTTTTCCAGCAAAGCAATTTCAAGTCTTTCTATAGAGTGACTTACAACGCCATTGCTGAATAGATGTCCAAAGAGGCGATTCAGTATCAATGCATCAGCTACATCAGTCACCTATAGATGAAAATGTCATGCTTACATTTGTCACTAATCAAGTATGCTTTTAGATAGCTCAGCATCACAAGTAAAAGTGATCATGCGAAGCCAAACATACCATGAACTCATCTAAACATAACAAAATCGCCTCATCAGAGATCTCCCCTGCAACTACTTCAAGTGGATCTGACACACCTTTGTGTCTCTGGTCAAACGCAAAATGGGAATCATTAATTACAAACCACAACTCCATAATCCCTCTGTGTCTCTCGCTCTACCACCGAATTACATCAGAAACTCAGATTCTTACTTGCAAGCGACTATGGACATTGAGCATAAAGTCATGGAAATGGATCCTCTTTTTCCTCCAACTGCAAGGCCTAATGGAGCAAAGGAAGACTTAAATCGAGTAACCAGACAAGGGCTGGGTATGCAAAAAGGGACAACTCCATGGGAAGCTTACAATTGATCATAGAACAAGTCCATCAGCATGGTCTTCCCAGTGCCTACACCTCCATAAAGATACAGCCCTTTCACAGGCGAATATGTCGACTGTGGGATGAAACGTGACCATAACCACCGACTCCTGATTAACCGAAACAAGGCAACCAACCTCAAACAATGCTCATCATCATATGCAGGTATCGAAAAGTAGGTTGGAACATTCAACACACCTTCCTGATTTATCAGAAGTAGAATATCGATCTAACTTGCAGGCATCAGCCGACTCAACAATCTCGTCAAAGAGCCTTTGTAGTTCTCTCAATGTTCCTACCTACAGAAAAAAATATATGATTAGGCCTAGATTAGTACAAAAACTACTTCATTCTTTGCAAACTAGAAACACTGAACAGGAGATAAAACCTGACAGCTATCACCATCCATAAGTTCTCCAGCGGCAATCCTTCTTTCATACTCCACAAGCGGCCCTGCCTTGTGGGCATCTGCAACTGAAACAAGTCCAACCCAATTCCACAAGCAAATGAGAAAACCGAATTCCAAACGCTTCTTCCATCAATGAATCAAGTACAATGCATTAGTTGATTAATTACTGTAAACCCACCAAGAAAAGCTATGAATTTTACCTGAATCGGGAACTCGTGCAACAGCATCAGTAGACAAAGCTCTAAAGTTGGCGAATTTATTATGGGGTAGAAGAAATCTATCCCTCTCAGTGTTAGTGAAAGAAGTATGGAGAGAGGCAGAGTTGGCCTGTATCAAAATCCTCTGCCTTCTTCCACCAACCAATCTAGCTGATGAACTACTGCATTCTTGAAAATCATAAACAAAGTGGCGGACCGATCGAACGCTTCTTCTCATCCTTCTCCTCTCTTTGTTCACCCCACAAATTTAGGCCAAGAAGAAGGTACGATTTAAAAAGGCCCTCCTGAAAGAAGTAAGAAATAGGTAAAAAGATACCAACTTTTTCAGCAAAATGATGCTCATGACAGACCAATCCAAGGCCAGACAATTGGGTTGAATTATTGCTTGGTGAAGACCACTAACTCAGAATCAGAATTCCACAAAAACTCGACCACGAGCACACAATGATACAAAAAGGCGATTCCCTCGCTCTAAAGGGAAAAAGGAAAGCTTCAAAAGTTATGGTTTCATTTCATCGATCGGCTAGCTCAAATTCAAACATTCAATACGAAATTCCATAGAATCAAAACCATACCCAAATTCCCAAGAGCTTCGAAAAATGCACGAAATTGACAACATTAAACAACAACCAAAAAGAAAACCTTTCTTTCTCCCCCCCTGTTTCAAAGAAAGCTTGCAACTTTGCGTCGACCCAATAAACCGAAACGAAAGGACTGGTAAACAAAACCGCACCTGAGAGATGAGGATGAGAGAAATCAGAAACTGGGCACAGGCGGCAAAAAGGAAAGAAACCAAATGAAACCTGATCTCTTCCCAATTGGGTAGTGGTGGTCGTGACGATTCAGAAAAAAGGGATAGAGAGAGAGATTCCCTGAGAATTTGTGCAAGATAGTGATATCAGGTATGGGGCTTTTGTGGCGTGCTTGGAGGAAGAGAAAATGTTGAGAGAGAGAAAGAAAGGAAGGAAGAGAAACGTCGCGGTAACGAGGGAGAGAGACAGAGAGGGAGAAGGCCAGAAGGGTTTGAATATTAGGGAATCGATGAAGCTTCTCTCCAAGCTTATTTGTTGAGGTTTTCAGGTATGGCTGGCCTGTGCTGGAATACCTGTTTTGTTTATTAACTTCGTTTAAGAATCGATTAAGGGATGGTGTGATGATAATGCCTGCGCAGGATGAGGTGGCAGCGGTTGGTCGTCTTCGTCGACGCCGTTTATTATGGCGGAAAATGGTAATTTTCTTGATTAGCTGACTAATTAATTACATGATTAGCGAATGGATGAATGTATGTCGCCGCCGGTCTGTTATGGGGAAAAGCAAAGTGCTGGGGCCCAAAATGTGGGCCCACATCCAAAGTCCGCATTGGCTGGTCGCCACAAATGAAAATTGAGTTCTAAGTGGGCCCATGCCACTGCTTAATAGGATAAAGAAACACGAATTTAATCACGGTGTTAGTATTAATATTATGGGTGAATAGCAGTTTTAGTCCTTATACTGTGTTTTTTGAACAAATATGTCACTGACTCACCGTATTAATTATGATTTATGAACTTCATAAAAGTTCGTATTTGTGGATTATGGCAATCATCCGGTAGTACTATCTTGGTTTGAAACTCAAGCAAAATTATGTTACGAAGCGAGAGTATTGGATGCTTAATGAGTATGAATTATCATTCATCACAAATCATATGTGATATGAGTTTATCTCCTCGCCCCTTCCCATGGGACATTATAGCTTTATTAGCACTAAAAATCTATGATGGACGAGTCATTGAAAACGAGAGGAGGGATTCGCGAGTCAAATTCAAAGGGGGACAAACCAAGTATTCAGATAATAAACTTCTTTTTTTAAAAAGGATAATAAACTTCTAGCAAGGAGCCATAGAAATTTATTTGGGGGAGGTTTCTCCGTAAATGTCATATATATCTACTATGTATTGTTAACCTATAAAATGGGAAGGATTCGTGAATCTAATTCACGAGGCAAACTAAGTCGTCGGGTAATAAAGTTTTTGGCCGGCAGCTATACCAGTGACACGAGCTTAGTTTGATACCTACATCAAAGATTATCAAAGCCAGCCAATGAGATGGTTTTGAGGTGATTTCTTCGTGACAACGCATCGTCGTCTACACTTGTATGTACAACCTACAAAGAATTCTTGATTCCATATGGGGTTTTCACCATATTATGATTGACTCGTCAATAACATGCTTATCAATTACTAAGCATGTGACAAACTACTCTAGTAAGTAGTAAGCCATTTAGACGGACTAACTTGCCAAATAGACTAGGTTGAAGAATGAAGAGATGATTAAAAAAAAAAGTGGGGGATTAGATCAGATTAGATTATTAGTTGGGGGAAGTAGGTGGCAGTGAACATTACTACGGGGCAGCAGTCAGTCAGTATTCAGTAAATGCGGCCATTGCTGAAGAATGGGTGTGGGAATGAAAGTTGTTTGTGCAATTAAGTCGCCTCCGATTTCCAGCCACAAAATCAGATAACAATCTCTGGAAAAAAAACAGAGCATTGGGATTCTGCTGCACATGCATATGATAGAGAAGGGAAGTTATTGTAGACTTATGGTTTGATCGACAACTGTGAGCAAAGTACATGATGAACTCGTTTGTGCGGCCAATGACAGACTACAATGAATTGCCACCGGGGTTAGGTCTCTACTAAAAGCTTACACACACCATATATGGTTGTGAGCTATCTTTGTAAAACCGTAATCGTACTGTATCGATGGTTCAATAAAGAAAAAAAAGGTTATCAGATTTAACATCGGTAGGTGGTTTTATCAGTATTGTTATGGGACATGCAAATATCGCATCGTACATACAAGGAAAATTATGACCATTGAATATATAAGTGTCCACCAAACTCCACTGATATGAGGCATTTTGATGAGGCACCCAAATCAGTGCGGAACTTGCCCCAATAGACTTTGATACCAATTGTTGGACCAGGTATCCATTAGTATGATATTGTCTGATTTGGGTAAAAAATAACTTCCTTTATATATACAATGTGGTACTTGGGTTTCTCATAATAATCCTCCCCTCAAGACAAGGACCACAAACTTTTTGTCTTACCTTGGATCAGTCAGATAACTTGTATCACAACTTAACACCAAAGGTTTGCCAAATACATATCTTTGTTGATATGTTATATGCGGATCTTTGATTAACCGAATTTGGGTCTTTGATCCACCATATGATCGTCTAAAATCTCAAGGTCTCGAAATGAGGGTCCACCCATAAGTCCATTGTCCTTAATCCGAACCAAAGCTCTTATACCGGTTGTTGGGACTAGGAGCTCCATTCGTACAACATTTGTCCACTTTGAGTCAAGTATGTACAAATTTACCTTTTTGGGTTCCTTCACGTAAGGTTTCGTGCTAATGAGTTTGGTGGACAATAATATACAAGGGTAATTTCCCTTGTATTTAGATGTGGTACTTGCATTGTCTCATAACATGTATAAAACGAGTGAACCACGATTAAAACCATAATTTAAACACAAAATACTCTATCACTAACTTTTCTTATACAACCTCCAGTATTGTTCATAACGATCCAAATTGGCCTATAATTAATTATGTTTGAACCTGACTGAGTGTAGGAGTGAGGTTCGAAGGAGAGTTTGGGTCGAGAAGAAACGCGAGAGCCGGGCTAGATCAGAGGAACCAGAATCAGAGAGTTGAGTGAGAAAGAGATTAGAAAGAGAAGTAGTTCTTGTAGAGAGAGAATGGTGAAAAATGCGATCCCCCCTACCCACCGTAGTAAATGCCATATTTATAGGCTTCATGGTGGTGGGTGAGTGGTTGACATAGGGAGAGATACAGTGATGTGACTACTGGGATACAATGATGTGACCACTAGCACACTAAGGCTTTTAGGCCATCCCTCTACCTAGGATGAGTCAGAGATCCACTCATGGCCCTGATGTGACTACCCGCTTGGAAGAGGTGCGCTTCCCTCATCTTCTGGTTCAGCCTACGCTAGTCCTCCCCTAGCGCCTGTCATCTCTTCGCGCCTGGACGTGGTTAGCCATGATGAGGCGGCACACTCGGGGTCCTCGCGCTGCCGTGTTGGGGTCTCATCCAGTTGCGCCCGGTTCCTTGGCGTGGTTAGGCCCGAGTCCTATGCCCAACAATTGCCCCCCAGCAGGGGGTGTTTTGTGAACGCCCCCTGTTTAGGTTTCCTCCGGACTCGGGCCGGTCCGCTTGTAGCTATTGGTTGGCGCCGACGTGCGCGATACTATGAACTGGCGTCGCCTTGCCCTGACGCCATGTGCCATCGCGCTCGTTGTTGGGCTTCATTCGGTCGCCACGCGCAATGCTTGGCGCGCGCTGTTGTGCGTACGGGGTCGTTTTCTTCGTGCGCGGTACGCGCTAATGCGCTCGTTGTTGGTCTTTGTTCGCTGAGCGCGATACTCGCGCGCGATGCGCTCGTGGAGTTGTTTTCTTTTCGCAGCACGACGCATGTTTTCCTCTTCCAGGCGTTATCCTCGCGATAAGCGCTCGCGGTTGATCTTTGTTCGTTGAGCGTGATACTCGCGCGCGATGCCCGTCGATGCGCGCATGGGGTTGTCTTCTTGTTGCGACGCAATGCGTGTCTTTCTTTTCCTCGCGGGTGTGCCATGCCCCCCAGTCGGTGCGCGGCGCTGGTGGCGTCGCCGACTAATGCCTATGATCGTAGGTGTCAACGTGTCACTGTGTGGTTAGGCTATTTGGGCGGGGGTTTTTTGAATTTCGAAAAGATTTGGTGGGATCTGACTGTTACGGATCCCAATGTGGCTTTAACCTTTCGCATTCCGCCGAACGGCCTTGGCCCTTCGCTTTCCCCCGGATCAATTATAAATATGAGATTGTTGAAGGGAGGAGGGCTCACTTGTTTTCTCCGATCATAGCCTCGCTTTTGTTTTCCTAAGATTTCCCTCCTCCTTCACTTCTCTTTCCTCGAGATTTTCTCTCCTCCTTTTACTACCCCAATCCTCTTCTGCTGTTGATCAACTTCGAGTCGATATCATGTCCAACATCAACAACCAGGAGGCCGAGGTCGTACAAGGCGAAGAAGGTAATGTCTCTCCTCTCTCGCATACTTCTTCTGACCATTCCGGTGGTGGGAATGGAGGTTCTGGGGATTGGAACGGTGGATCCGACGGTGGGGGTGGCAGTAGTGGTGGTGGACTTCCGGCGACGCCGACGTTCGATGCTAGGTCGGGCGATGGGGCCGGAAGCTCTTCTGATCAGGGTATAATCGTTTCCGGTAGTGGGGAGGTGGCGCGGCCGGCTCGGGGGACTCTGATTATTCGGCGTAACCAGGGTGGTGGGCCGGTTGCCGGCGACGAAGCGGCCGACGAGGAAATCGCCGACGAGGAAGTCGCCGATGGTGAGGTCGGCGACGATGAAGTCGCCGACGATGAAGACTTCGGCGATGAGACAGAGCAAGGAGACTTTGATGTGCAATTCGCGCCGCGAGCAGTCGAGCGCGTTACCGAAGCCATGGCCCGCTTGGGGCCGCAGGGTGTTGGCTCTACATACCGCGTGATCGAATGGGCGGAGATGTGGGGTGACCAGCCGGCGCCGTCTGACAATCTCAAGCGCGGACCCGAGCACTCCTCGACGTATGACGTGGATGACGTGGAGGAGTTGGTTCGCGGACTGGGTTTGCCCCCCAGTTGGGAGTACGCCGCTCCCTCGGTGCGCAGTATGGTGGGTAACTGCCCCCCTGGGTGGTTCGGTGTGTATGCCGAATACTGGGTTATGGGGTTCAAGTTCCCCATCGACCCGCTGTTATGCGCCATATACGACCGCCTCAAATGCTCCATCGGTCGGCTCTCCCCGTCAGTGATCATGCACGCGAGTTGCCTTCGTCTCGCGTGCAAAAGGCTTAACATCGTGCCTACTTACGGCTTATTCCGCAAGATGTACAAAATCAAGGAGCCGACAAAGGTGAGCGACTGTCTCTCCATCCAGCGACGCGACCACCGCCCCGATGGCTTCGTGTACGGCTCGCCCAAGTTGAAGAAGACTTGGTTTGGTCAGTTTTTCTATGTTAAGCCCGCTCCCGGGGAATGGGCGAGTGGGTCGCTGCCGGAGCCCACCACCTGGATGAAGGGCAGTATAGCCGGTTTCGAGTCCGACGTCGGTAAATACGACGGGCTCAACGATGAGTATGAGGCTTGCATGCCTCACCGCATGAATTTATACAAGCGGGGAGTCCGCGAAGCCTGTTTGGAAGAGCTCTTTGGAGATGGTTAGTTATGTTTCCTTCCTTTTTGTATTCTATCTT